TTCTTTACCTCTTCTTCACCTCGTCCATTCGAACAATCACTCTTTTACACGCCAACCTACAATCGACGCTCTGTCTGCTCGATCGTCTATCATAAATTCATTCCCTATATTCCCCGCGTTGTTTTCCTCAAGCGGCGAGCACAAGGGAGACGAGAAACGAAATCGGGTGCGAATCCGGTTCGCGTGCATCGTCGAACGATCAACGATTTATCGATCGCTTTTCGAGTCTATCTCTCTCGCATACCTCTTCGTTCGTTCGTGTTTTTTTCCTCTCTCCTTTTTTTTTTTTTAATCAATTGATCAATCAATAAACCCGAAACGAACGTATAACGTGTTTATTCTATTTTTCTAAAAAAAGAAAAGAAGTGCGCGAGCGATTTTTATTAATCTACTAAACGAAAATTATCGCTCGTTTTCGTGATTGCAAAACTATATATAGGTACTGCAATGAAGGATTAACAATAACAAGGAAAGACATTCGTTGGATCGTTCGATCGATCGCGAAACTCACGCTCGCGGACCTCGGTTGGTCGATTCTCGTTTTGAACTCGTTGTTCGCGCGAATTATGCCACAACTCAGAGCTAAACGTTTATTTTAATTATAAATCGCTAATTAAAATGTGTGCTTTTATCCCTCCCCCCGGGAGAATCGCTAAATCTCGTTGGAAAAGTAAAGTAAGTGCTAAATTATCTTTAAAGTGTAATTTGTAATTCGTCGAAGAGCGAAGTCGATCGTCACGAAACGAAATTTTAAATTCTTTACCTTGCTACGATGAGAAATAATAATAATAATAATAATAATAATAATGATAATAATAATAATAATAATAATAATAATAGAAAAAAAAACGAAAGAAAAAAGAAAAGACATCGACACTGTAATCGAAAGAAGCAAAACGTAAAAATAATCGTGTCATCTGCCTGAAGCTAGTCCCTTTTTTTTTTTTTTTTTTTTACATCGTTTTTTTCTACATCCTCTCGTACGATTCTCTTTTTTTTTTTTTTGTCAAATTTTTCTCTCAATTTTTTCTCGTTTTTTTTCTTTATTTTTTTTTTTTTTTTAACTTTTTTTCGCTTTTTGCAATTATTCCATTTGTACGTGAATTACGATTACCTCTCACATAGAATGTATAAACGTTTCTAAGCGTATAAATTTTGGTCAGTAAAAAAAAGAATATACTATAATATCGAATTATTATATTTTTTCCTATACACGTCACACGTAAAACAAACTCTATCAATACTACGTTTACATATTCTTAATTTTTTTTTCCCTTTTCATTCTTTTTCTTTCTCTCTTTCTCTCTCTCTCTCTCTCTCTCTCTCGCTCTCTCAGTTCAGACACACATTTGCTCGTTTACTCATTCACTCACTTTAGGCGTCTAGGTAAAAAAATGGGGGTGGGAGAAGAGGGTAAACGACGTTTCGTTTATAGAATTAATCGCTAGAAAAATAAAAACGCGGCTTTATCATCCACATGAATATATATATACTCTTTCCTCTCTCCTCTCTCTCTCTCTCTCTCTCTCTCTCTCTCTCTCTTTCAATCAATTTCCCTTAATTTATCGATATTTTCCTCTCACTTTCCATCTTCTTTTCTCTCACCTCTACTTCGACATAACCGAATCATTCCTCTCACTCGCATCATCCCGTTTCCCTAAAAGAAACAAATTTCTTCTGAGGTGTGGCTCCGGCACGTTTTTTTTTTTTTTTTCTTTTTTTCGTGAAACGTGGTTTTCCATTTCGGATGATGAAATGTTCTCTCGAAAAAAAAAAGAAAGAACATTCGCGCGTTCTCGTCTCTTCGTCCCTTCTCGCGTCTGGATCCTCGTGCATCTCCGCTCTCGAGAGACCAGATCGATCAAAAGTAATATAAAATGAGGGAGGGGAAAAAAAAAAAGAAAAAAAAAAAAATAGAATCGATCGACTCTTGAAAACGATTTTCCACGATTTTCGTGATATTCGCATCCCTTCGTACTTCCTTCGATCGAATTCTTCGCGACCACGAGAAATTAACACGTCTAAAAACGTTGCAGGCACGTCGCTTTGATATATTCGCGTAAGTGTAATAATATTACCGTCCATTTTGGACGAAAGAGCAAATTGGAAAAATTCATTCTTCCATACCGATCGATCGATGTATACATATTTTTTTTTTCTTCTTCTTCTTCTTCTTCTTCTTTTTAACGCGTTAATTAAATTTACTCGGCGACTCTTATGAGATCCTATGAGAAGCGTCGAAAGAACGGAGTAAAATTGATCCTCCTAGCTTCTAAATGTCCCATTTGCTTTCGCGACGAAACGAAAAACTCGAAATTCGTTCGTTTCGCTTAGCAAATTTCGCCGTTTTTTTCTTTTTTTTTTTTTCTTTTTTGATTTCTATATCTGCGATTTCAATCTCGCGCAGACCACAACAACTCTCGACGCACAAAAGCTGCTCGATTTTATTATACGAGCATTTCTCAAGGATGCTGGCTTTTCTCAAGGAAAATAATATGGATATGGATTCGTCCGTAGCAGAACGAGGTTGTACGTTGTTTCACTGCGTCGTTGCCGCACGAAAAATTTGTTTGTCACGATTGTTTCCCGATCTCTCATTCAAGGGGACTTCGAAATTGCGTTCTTCGGTCAGTCAACGATCTCTTGCCTTTCAAACGTCCCGCCAGAAATTTTGCAATCGTCGAATGCGCGAGAAAAATGAAAAATAAAACGAAACGAAGGATTGCAAAATTTCTTTGTTGACCACTGACCAAGAAGATCGATCTATCAACAACTCTCGTCCGCTTTATCGAATAAAAAAAAAAAAACTTTTTTCTTATCACGCACGAATCAATCTTTCTCGAAATCGAAGTTCTCAAATCATCTCGCGAAATCCAAAAAGCGAAAGATCAACGATAACAATCGTCACACACATGGTCTGGAAACAAATGTGGCTCGAGGTGTAACGGCTCGAGTACAACCGGAGTGTCGGAGCATAAGCTGCCGCGTCGTGTGACCGTCCCGCGACGTTGCAGATAAATGCTCTCCCAGCATCGGTCGGTCGAGCTTTCACAGAGAGAGCTTTCGCGTATCGTGTAAGCGATCGATGTCGCGTCTCGATCTTGTGTGCTTTTCACGAGGCAGTGCTTTCTTCCTTCGTCCTACCATTCGTCGTACGTTCGCATACGAGAAACGTGTAATGTGTGTAAAGGAGGGGAGGGGGGCATGAAAAAAAAAAAAAATAAAAAAAAAAGAAGA